AAATTAAACATCTCACATTAAAAAATAAATAAATAAGTAAAATAAAGGTATTGTATCCATCTACAACTAAAAAATCATATTAAAAAATTAAACATATCAATTATAATAGTGTAAAATGAAATGATGTTTTTAAAGCCTGGCACATAGTAGTTACAGCACCTGGTATATAATACTCAATAACTGAAATTTTAAAAATAGTAATATACACAGTTGGGCATGGTGGCTCATGCCTATAATCCCAGTGACTCAGGAGGCTGAGGCAGGAGGATCACCAGTTCAAAGCCAGCCTTAGCAATTTAGTAAGGCCCTAAGCAATTTAGGGAGACCGTGTCTCAAGATATAAAATAAAAATGGTGTAGAGATGTGGCTCAGTGGTTAAGTGACCTTGGATTCAATCCCTGGTACCAAAAAAAGAAAAAGGAAAGAAAGAATCACAAATAGTAAAACCAAACCACGTTCTTTTTATTGTGATAATCTGGCCTAGGGACAAGATTGGACTCTGACAGAAATATCTCAATCTGGATAATCCCAAATTAAATAATGAGAGAACTAAGAGACAATTCCCCTTACTTTCTAGTTCCAATATTACCCATCCTGTGCATATATGATCTTCAATTCTTTGCAAAGGCTGCATACCCCCCTTTTCTAATGGACTCTCCTTACCCCTTACCTCTGGTTCTTTAATTAGGTGCTTATATCTTCCAATCCCATGAGTGGGCTTTGTCTTATACTGCCGGCTGGTAGTCAGTAGAATGCCACCTAAAAGAGAAAAAATAAAACAAGCCTATTTCTAAGCTCTTCCAAGGACTGACAGATCATATGATAGGAGGCAAATTATCCACTGAAGGACTGAAAATATTTGGGGCCAGAGAGCAATTTGTTTGTTTAAATAATCATAGGTATTTCTTGATTCTAGACAAATTCTATTTGCCCTCCTTTTCTCCCCTTTTAGCCCATGGAATATATCCAATTCCCACCACCCATCTTTCTTTTGAGAAATTCTCTCCTGCAAAACTCATTGGGGATAGGAGAACAAAATACATTTTCATAGGGCTCTCATCTCTTCTTGTTCCTTAATAGGCAAAAATCTTTTTTGTTGGGACTTTATRGATACAGAGGCAAGTAGCGAAAATGTTCAGCAAAGAAGAGAATCATCAAGTTCTATAAAATTTATAGATTTTATASAACTGCTGGGATGTAGTTCAGTGGTAGAGCACCTGCATAACATGCACAAGTTCCTGGGTTCTATCCCCAGCATCACAAACAGAAATCATCCAATTTGAATTATTTGTGTTAATATGTTAAGTGAACAACAATAACAAAAGACTTAGGTACAGAATAGTGTACATGCATGCTACTACTAGGTTAAAAAAGGAGGATCCCTAAACCGGGAGAAGTGGTACATGTCTGTAATCTCAGCAATTTGGGAAGCTGAGGCCAGCCTAAGCAACCTGGCAAGACCATCTCAAAATAAAAAAGACCAGTGGTAAAGCACCCCTGGGCTCAATCCTCAGTACCAGAGAGAAAGAGAAAGAGAATATCCCTATATACATACTTATTGTGGTAGAGAGGTGCCACCAAAATTTTCCTTTAAGGAAGTACTTGCTGACCACATCTTGCTTCTTGCTTTCATATAAACACATTACACATACAAACATTCCCTTTAAATCTTATTATCCTCATTTACAAATAAAGAAGCAATGGTAGCTCAAAAAAAAAAAAATGACAAAATGACCAGCAAATGATCCAGGAAGAAAGAGACAGAACTGCCATTTAAATCTAGGTTTATCTGACTGCACAGCCAGTGTTCATAACCATTAGATTAAAACAACTGAATTTCCAGAATACAAAATCTGGCTAGATCTGACCTTTCTTGGCTCTGGTCTCCATTCCTTATCTCTCCCCATTCACTGGAACTAGCCATGCACAGGTCTGCTTGTCTGCCTGTCTTTTCTGCTGTCTCTACTCTCTGGAGAAGTCCTCGTCCTAGGTTCCTGCTTCTTTTCCTTCTGGCTCCTGTAATCCTGTCCTCATCTCCTCAGGGTCATCACTCTATCAGGTGGTAACAAAAATGATATTGAGAAGTCTGACATCAAGTGAAAAGGTTTCTTAGGTCCCTGTTTTTTGTTTCTACTGTTGTTATTTGGTACCAGGGATTGAATCCAGGGGCATTTAATCACTGA